CCTGTCACAACCACCACTACCATCGCGCCACCCACCACTATTGTCATCCACCATCGATTATTACCATTATCGCTCATTGCCACCACCACCATGATCATCTCATTTTTATATTTGTTACTACTATCATCATAATTCCACCACCACCCACTATCACAAACCACTACCATTTGTTGTTGGCCCACCACTGTCATCACTCATTATCACCCACTTTCACCACACCTACCACCACCACCACCCACTGTGACCTACCCTCACCACACTTACAACCGTCACCCACAAACACTTGTCGTCTCCCACCAGCACTACCATCGTCATTGCCACCACCACTGTCGTTGCCACCACCACCACTACCAATCATCATCGTCGTCGCCCACCACCACTCACACCCACTACCACCGTCATCGTCACCTATGGTTGCAACCACTACCATTGTTGCTAAAAACCCGCTATCACTATCACCGTTGTTACTCACGATTGACACCACCACCATGGTTGTCGTTGTCCATCACAATTATCGTTGTCTCCCATCATTACGACTATCACCTATTACTCTTACTATAATTGGTGCTAATTTAATTTTCTATTTTTTCTATGTTTGTGATTTGATTTTAAACGTAAATATAAATATATTTATGATTAACAATTTTTTTTATTACTCCGTACCTTTAGTTACGAACAATAATTAGTACTACAGTATTAGATAAGTTTTAATACGTTTTGATCAACTTGACAATTATCTTATTAATGTTCGAAAATATTCTTTACCTCATTTAATTATTAGGATATAAAAAGAAAAGAAGAAGAAGATGCCAATAAACTTCCTATCATCCATGTCCAAAACCTTCCAATAAAGTACCAGCCTTCCCTCCACCGAATGAGTGTGGTCCGAACCGAACCACGAAGCAGTACGCGAAAACCACGCTGACTCCAAAACGACAAACGAAAAAGATCAAAACGCAAGACTGAAAATTGTCTGACGATGTCTCCGCTCTTCTCTCGTCACTGTCGGAGTGTAAAATATTACACATGACAAAACACTACGACAGCCGCTGATTCATATCCTCACCTATTCTAATCAAGCCTCTACTCACCGTACACCTGTCGGTGCTCAACGACAAATGATGATATTCATTACGTTAGTTGCATGTGATCACCGTAGATAATTATGATTAGGTAATAATGCACTGACAAACTTATAAGAGTTTAAAAGTCTTTAAAATATATTTTTTTTCAGCTTAATTTTGATTGTATTAATTTTATCAATTTTGTCTTTAAAATTTTTAATTCGTGTCATTTTAATCCGTACATAGATGAACCGTCAAGTTTTTTAACAAAATGATTACGTTATTGGGCATGTAATACTGTCTAAAAAAATAATATATTGTCATTTCTGTCAAAAAATTTAACAATCAGTCTATGTAGGGATAAAAATAAAATAAATTGAATATTTTAGGGATCAAATTGATACAATAAAAATTAAACTAATAAAAAATACATATAATAAAAACTAAAAATGATATTAACCCAACTTATAATATAAGAGTGAGTTTCCTCCAATATATTTTATATTAATTTTTTTTGAGTCAAATCATCTATCATACGTGAAACTCAATATATAGAAGTGAATCTTCTACTCATTAACAATAGATAATTCATAAAAAAAAAAAATTAATAAAAAATTATATTAAAGATAATATATAAAAAGACTTGAGATATTGTGACCCCTTGGCGTGCTCAACCCATTTGGAGTAAGAAAGTTGACTATTGTCTCCGTGGCCTGCACAGCATTAACTAGAAGGATTTATCTGAGTTATTCCCTGTGAATTTGTGTCAGGGTGTTCTGAGTTATTCCCTGTGAATTTGTGTCAGGGTGTTCCCTTACGGTACTGATCGAAAATATAGTATTTCGTCTTCTACCCTACTCGATGAAGTGTAATATTTTTTTTTGACTTCCGACTTGATTAATCGGATAAACATTTTTTTAGCTATTATTTTTTAAATTATTTTAACAATTTAATTAAATAACACACACCAATTTAACAACACAATAAATCAATAACACTAAAATATAAAATAACTACAACAAAAATTATAATAAAACACAAAAAAACATGAACATTAATTCATCATACTTGTTGTACAAATACAATAACAATTACTAGATATGAATGAGAACCGACAACACCATCACGTACAATGCAAAGCACAAGCACTAACACTAGCTTCAGTTGTTTTGGATTCTAATTTAAGACTTGAAATATGGGAGTTTTCATGTTTGATGTTAACTGGATAAGTTTTAAAAGCTTAAAAAAACAAAAAAAGTTTGAACGATGCTTCAAAATTAGGGTTTTGAGGTTCATTAACTTGATGCTTAAAAAAAATCAAATATGTAGACAAAGGTCTGAACGATGAAAGCTACCAAATTGCGCCCAAACAAAAAGAGAGAGAGAGAGAGTACCTAGGGAGGTCGGGACTAAACAATGAAAACCTAAGCTATGGAAGCAAAGGCTTGAGCGAAGAAAGCCGATGGAGGCAAGAGGAGAGGAGTGGAGTGAGACCCTCGCTTAGTCAGTAGACGATAAGGTTGGTTAGTAATTATGGTTTTTTTAATTTATATATATATATATTAATGCAGGTAGTGTAGGGTAGGAATGAAAAAATTAATGGATATTCTGTATTTCTACTCAATTTTTACGACTAGCCGTTCAATAGAATCAAGTAGGGTAGGAAATTACGACCAATCAAAAATTTGAACACCCTTAATTCATATTATACCTTGAGTTATATCGTATTAACATTATGGCCCCCCTTCAAGTTTCCATAATTATGTACAATACCTTCAAAATTATGTTAGTGTTCCCTCCCAAGTTTTTAAAATTTATTCTTAATGCTTTTGAGCTTATATTTTTTTATTTTATTTTATGTGACCCTCTCAAATTTTCAAGATTATATTTTATACTAGATAATGATCATAATTTTCTTTATCTCTTGATTACTGATTTGAATGCTTTTGCAACATTAATCACTCTAATTTGTATTTTTTTTTTTTGTAAAAATTGTTAAATTTAGGATTGTGTAAGTCGTTAAATTTGAGACACAAATAATCCACTATAATACTCTTATGGTTCCAATGTGTTCTAAACCAATAGTTGGTGAATAAAGTGATATACGAGTCATAGTTTCACAATACAAAGTATAATTTACACAAATTCTACATAGATACGATCCAAAACCATATAAAATATGTATCATTGGAAAATCTGCAAATTCTTTTTTTTTTTTCGGCTTTTTGTAATTTTGTAGAGACATAATGAAAGTTAGTTTTCCTTGAATGATTATATAATTGAGTTTAAATTGTTGATTGTTTGATGAACTGATTTGAACTTATGTTACATTTACTTAATATGCAAGCTTATTTTAATTTTCTTAATTTTACTGAAAATAAATAATACTACAATGAGTCATATAAACGTTGATTTTATTGTGTTTTATTCAACTACAAGTTTTTTATTGCGTCACTAATTGGACCCCCTCAGCAAACAATCCTGGCTGCGCATTAGATATAGCGATGCATAATTGAATTTATGTTACGTTTAGGTTCATATCTTGTATTATTAAATGTAAGTTGTACATAAATGGACAAACAATAACTCATGTCTGAAGACACTCTACAATACTAAAAATCGAACATTTATCGTACATTTTTTATATTTTAAATAATAATTTATTTTTTCTTTCTTTTCTTTTTTTTTTTTTGATTATGCAATTTAGAATTAAAGTGAACTGGGAGAAAATTATAGAGAAATAAGGGAAGAGAGGTATATATAGATTAATGAGGTTGTTTGACATTGGGAGCCATGCAAAAAAAAAAAAGATATTTTTAGTAGGGGAAAAAATTGAGATGAATTTTATACAATTAGATTAAAGTAGATAAAATTTGAATCAACCTTGATTGATGTTATGTTTTTTTATAAGTTAAGGATTCAAATTCTTAGTTAATATTAGATAGATTAGTAATAATTTGTCCTTGAAGATAAGCTAAAATATAAAAAAGTGAGCATTGATTGTACACCATTGATACTTTAAATAGTAATTGAGAGACATAAAGAGGTAGGCGTGAGCTAGTAGGGTTATTTGGCATTGGAGAGTGTATTAATTGAATTATCTGAGAATGTGCACTGTTTGCGTAAGAAATGATATTGTTGAATGGAATTTTTTTCTTTTTTTATGAACATTTTGCACAACAATGATTAGTTATATCTAAAGAAAAAACATTTCAAGAGAAACCATCTTACCCAAGGAGTATAATTTTTATTTTTATTTTTATTTTTTGGTCTCACCATAGGCGTATAAATGAAAATATAAAATGTTAACATAGAATTAGTGTATAAAACTCTAGATTCTTAATTATATTGTAATGTACCAAGAGTCTTGATTCTTAATTATATTGTTATTTGAGAAGAAAAAGTCTTAAACGTGACTCCTAGCATAGAGCCTCATATATTATATTAGGAAATTGTAGAGGAGCGGGTTTGGCTCCCCTCTAATTTCCAAACAATTGGAGAATCCTCTAATTTTATTTGACTGGTAGGGATTTTAACATTTGAAATAAATTCATTTCAATGATATGGGCAGATCCTCACTACTCAAATGGATTTAAAAATTATAGGAGAGCCTAACTCGAGAGGAAAACCTATGTTTCTACGTAATCATCACTCAAAAACCCTGCTTAATTGTCACACTTTTACAACCTATCAACTAACCCCACCCATTCTATATATAACAAGTAAATGTTTTTTGTTAAAAATACAATGAATGGTATAAGAGAGAAATTAAGGAAAACAAAATTGTAGGGGAGTGGTTGTTAAGATGAGCTTATTGAGTAAATGTTATGTAGGTAGGGGCACTTGGACTATAGGATACCCGGTATCCCCTTTCTATTAATATGATATTATACCACAAAACACTAGGATGTCAATGTTTTAGTCCTTTTCTTGTGTCTCCCAACCTATCTGGCTAACCATGAGAGAGAGAGAGAGAGAGCTGTATACGTCCATAACTTGCAAGTAATCAGCATTCACCAATGATCCACCCTCTACAACAAGCTAAGTCACTGAGAGAGAGAGAGAGAGTGAAACCACTCACAAGGATTCTAAGTCTAGAGAGAAGTTTGGAGTGTTCAGACAAAACCCAACTCATTAAACTTTGTAGAGAGTGACAGAACGAGAGAGGTCAGGTCGGTTTTTATAGAGAGAAGAAGAGAGAGAGAGAGAGAGAGAGGAAAAGGGGTGGGAATTAATGGATGTAAACAAAATAGTGGTAATTGTGGAAGATGTAGAAGTAGCAAGAACAGCTCTCCAATGGGCACTTCGCAACCTTTTGCGATACGGCGATCTGATAACACTCCTCCATGTATTCCCCACTACCAGATCCAGATGCCGGAAAAAGCTCAGACTCCTCCGCCTCAAAGGCTTCCAATTGGCTCTTTCCTTCAGAGAAATCTGCGACACCTTCCCCAACGTACGTACGTTCATCCTTACAAAACGATTCAACTCAACTCAAATAAATCTTGTAGGAACTTGAAAATCTGTTAACAAAAGACCCAGATCAACCATCAAGTTTCTACCTTTTCCAGTAATTCTACTGATGAATTTGATGAGCATGTGTACAAATATATATATATATATATATATATATATATATATATGTATACGTGTATCTCTATGACTCTATGTATAATGAAATTATAGGATTGTGTGTTGCAGACCCAGACAGAGATTGTGGTGGCCGAAGGTGATCAGGAGGGAGGGAAGATTGCAGCAATGGTGAGAGAGATTGGGGCGTCTACTCTTGTTGTTGGGCTTCATGATCAGAGCTTTCTGTACAAGTAAGTTTTAATTCTACTTCTACACTACTAGATTCTCTCTCTCAAATTAAAAATTTCACTCTAGCTTCAATTAAATTGAATTGAATTCATCGAAACAAACAGAAATGATCCGTATAAACATGGGGTCAACGTGTCCCATGGGTTTGCTTCTTTTTTTTTTCTTTCTTCCTTTCTTCTGTTTTCTTCTTCTTTTCTTCATTTTATGTTGACAAATTTGGACCCGTAATTGACAAGAAAATATTTAGATTAATCCTATTCAGGACCCGTAATTTACAAGAAAATATTTAATGGAACACACACATGGTGTCACCTTTCACTAATAAATCTACCAAGTGTATCCTCCATAATTTAATAATTATTTTTTCATATAAAAAAAGGTTAATTGCATTAAAAATTCCTAAAATATAAAATTGATTTTATTTTGATCCCTAATATTTTAATTATATTATTTTGGTTTATAAAGTATTGAAAATATTTGTATACAACTTCCTCAAGTTTCAAATTATTAATAATTTTTTATCATAAATTTGTCACGTGAACGTTGTCTGTTTGAAGAACTACATAAAAATATTTTTAATATTTTAAGAATTAAAATGATACAATTGAAATATTAAAAATTAAAATAAAATAAACTCAATACTTTGAAAATCTTTAATGCAATTAACCTTAAAAAAATTCAGTGCAACTTATACGTGGCAGTGATAAGGCATAAATTCAATATTTACTTGTGATTGACCGACAAACCCAGGCCAAAAACACAAAAAAAAAAACTCAGTCCAAATGTGTCTAATCTTGCCGTAATGTTTGACAGAAGCCAGCCAACCCAATTTTCCTTTTACTTCTAGAAATTCTTTTTTTCTTTTTTTAAGCAAATGAAATACTATTTTTACTTTTTATCCGAAAACAACAAAGAAACTTTAAAAATTAGCAAAAAATAACTCAAAAGTACTGCATGATAATACCTACTACATATATTTTTATAGGTTAATTGCATTGGAGGTTTTCAAAATATGAAATTTATCTCATGTTGATCCCTGAAGTATTGAATATGTTTCTATATAGTCTGTCAAGCAGACAACGTCAAGATTACTAATGATTTTTTATCATAAACTTGTCATCTGACACTTAAATATAAACAAAAAAATAATTTGGATAATTATTAACCAAATTTTTACTTAAATTTTAGTTAAATAGCTACTCAAATTACAAATTTTTTTATCATGATATCCAAATTTTGATCAAGAGTTACCCATATTACACATTTTTTGTCAAGAGTTATATAAATTTTGTTTAAAAGCTATCAAAATTATTTTTTATCTATATTTAGGTATTACGTGATAAATTTATGATAAAAAATCGTTAGCAATTTAGACGTTGTTTGTTTGATGAACCATATAGAAATATATTCAATATTTCAAGGACCAAAATGATACAATTGAAACATTGAGGACCAAAATGAGACAAACTTCATACTTTAGGGATTTCCAATGCAATTAACCTTTTTTTTTTAATTTAAGAAACATTTTATAGTGTGAAATTGTTTTCTTTCTCCAAGCTTCATCACATATATCAAAAAACACTTGTATCACAAATAAAAATATATTTTTTTGGGTAAATACACAAACAAATGTCCTCCTTTTATATAAGTTAAGTTGTAGGGTAATTTATAATTTACCCCTTTAAAGTATGTTATTTTTTATGTGGTTCATGAAATTTCAATTAACACAATTATATCCTTAAAGTTTTAAACGAATTTCATTCCAATTCTTCTGTCCAAATCTAGTAATTTATTTGAACAGAAAGACGTCACAAGACTTACCCATAAGGGTATATTTGTCCAACAAAAAATTTCTCTGAAATACATTAATATTTCTCTCAAATACATTAATATTTCTCACTTTGTGTTATAATATCCCCTAAATTCTTACTCTATATCTTACATTTTTGAGTTTGTTATATTTTTTTTCGACCAAAATCAGATGAAAAAAAAAAAAAGAAAAATTTATTAGCCTACATGTAACAGATTTTTCATTAGACAAATATACTTTTTTACCCAAGTTATGTATTGGTCATGAAAGACCATTCCATCATAATAAATTACTAAATTTTAATATAAGAACTTAAAAAACTCAATTAAAACTCTAAAGACTTAACGATTGTAACTAGAACTTCAAGGACCAAATAAGAATTAGGTATATACTTTAAAAGTATAACCACTAGTCTTGTTTAGCTTATAACAAGTACTTCTAAAAAAAATGATATGCAATGGTACATTAGACTTTGATCAAAAAGGGTAGAGCCCAAAAAACTTTAATCATTAAGACACGTAGCAAGTGATCAGTGGGTCATGGAGGAATCAAATCTCTGGTTGGGTGTATTTGTACCAATCAGTAGCGAGTGATACAGTGCTTGGACAAAGTCATAAAAAAAAAAATTATATATAGGATCGTCACAACATCTTTGTCACTTAATGTGTCCTAATCTTTAATCTGAGCTTTATGTGGATCTTGAAGTGGCCATGTAAGCAACAAGCACTCAGGTTCAGTGTTACATCAGTAGCTATTGTACTTTCCAAAGGCTTTTTAATAAATAAAATTGTATCTAATGCATAAGTCTTTAGAGTAAAGTCAAGATGTCGGGTGAGAGAAGATACGGATAATCTTGCCCCCATTTTTTGTAGACCGATTCTTGAAATCAAACTCGCAATATATCGCTCATAATTAAGTATATAGATAGTCCACTCCTCATAAGACTCGAATAATGGGGACTAGAATGAATAAGGGTGAATAATAATTTTACTGGTCATGAATGCTTTGTACAGAATCAGAAGCATATGGGACACATTCTCATAAATACAAACATTTGTGCACATTCTCATAAATACAAACATGTGTGCATGTATACTTGTGAACTTTGTTGTATTACTGCTATTAATTCTGAGAAAAAAGGAAGGAGAGAGGGGGGGGAGGAAGAATAGAACTGAGGCCAGCGTTGTTTGTTATGTGGTGCAGGTTAGCCATGGCCCACCAAAGAAATATTGCAAATAATTTCAATTGCAAAGTTCTTGCCATTAGGCAACCAGCAGCATTGAATACAAGGAGTACCATTTCAACACCAGACAGTTCAACCAACATGGACTGTTCTCAGATAGAAATTGGTGGATTGAGGTGAGGTTTCAATCTTCATTTCTTATGATCTTTTTACTATTGAAATTACCTAAATACCCTTGTTTATTAGCAATGTTCACTGTTTTCTTTTCTTTTTTTTTGGGCTAAATGGGTTTCAATTTGTCTGAATGCATAGAATACATCAATGAACAGACATGAAAATTATACTATTTTGTGTCTTCCATTAACTTCAAATTTTTGGGTTAATTACATATTCAATTCCTAATGTTTGGGGTTAATGTTTAGTGCTAACAAAAATTGAATTGTCTACATTACTTTTTTTTTCCAATTTTTTCAAACGGTTGTAGTAGAAATCATATTACGTAAAATTTAGGGACTCAATTGAAAAAAATTAAACAACGTACTTGCAGCCATGACTCTCTACAAACATGATTGGAACGATTCTCGGTTATCTAAAAAAATGAGATACGTGCATGCCACTTCGATTCACATTATTATTTTGGTCAGTTTATTTATGTAATTTTGTGAATGGTGTTCTGCAGTGTCCCTATTATTCCTCCACCAAAAATCCCATACCAAATATGTCCAGACCCTTCTGCTATCATATGGAGATCAAGAAAATCAAGAAGAAGAAGGGGAACTTCTTGAAGCAAGGTGGCTCAACTTCGTCTCAAAGGAGCCGACTTAAAAAACTGACTTAAAAACTTATAATTTAATGATGTGGTTAGTTGTGGGTCCCAATATTTATTGGGATCCACTACTTATTCGATGGTAATGATTCATCAAGTCAAGTTTTTAAGTTAATTTTTTTAAGTCTATTTGACATTTTTTTTTCTTTTTTTGTAACAATGCGTACTCAAGAATACCTCAGGGCTTTTAGCTTTGAATTTGATTCACACAATACAACTACACATAAAGTGGAATGGACTTCACAGAGAGCTGTTTATACCCCCCACACATTCTTCTAATTTGTATGTCATTGTTTTTTTTGTATTGTCTGTCCTTCAATCATGGGTTGTTTATGTTCTCAATTTGCAAAAAATTGCAAATTTTGAAGGTATGTTTCTAATAAACTGATTGCCAAGTAGTAATGAAACTACTAGTGCAGCCCACTGGGTGACCAGGTGAGCTAAGGGCAATTCTATTATCTGATTTTACTCCCTTTTCTAGTAGTTAAATGAAAAAAATCCCCATACTTGTTCAAAGAAAAAGGTATGTTACGGATTTGGATCCCTTCTGAGTATATTTTCTATCAATTGTTTTCGATTTTAGGCCACCCGTCATAAATTTAAGTGTAACCCACTAGTCCACTACATACAAGGGGATCATCTATTAATTCACGACCAACGATCTACCATTGAGAGAAATTGGAGGAAAATGTACTAAATAGATCTACATTTGTATGTTTTATCCATAGGTAATCTAGTGAAGCTCACAAGAGCTATCATACTAGCACTAATGCATCAAATCTCATTAGAACTCCGAAATTAAGTATGTTTAGGCGAGAGTAATATTTAGATAGATGATCCTCTGAAAAATTCGCGTGTTGCACCTCTTTTTATAAAGAAAAAAAAAATCTAGTGAAGCTCTTTCTGTAAGGTTTAAAATGTTTGTTAACCAACTAAGTCTAACCTAGTTGACTCTCAAAGGGGTCAATCATTGCCAAAAGCAACGATTGATTTTTGATGACTCATTCTTTTGGGTTCTATTCTGTTGCACTACAAGAAATTTATCATTTAGCCGCAAAAATTATTGTGGCTAAATGTATAAAAATTGTCACTATATATTTTAGTGACAATTTTTTTATTGCCATTAAGCCGCAGCTATATGTCCGTGGCTAAATCATTTAGCTACACCATTTAATCTGTTGTCACTAAAAATAATTTTTTTAGCCGTAACATGAAAAATGTCACTAAATATAAAATATTTAACCGCAATAATTATTGTAACAAGTTACCATAATTGTGCCACTAAAATGTACCTTGTCACCACCAAAAGTCCAATTAAAATTTAACTTTTAGTGACAAAAATTAATCACGACTAAAAGTATATATTTTACCCGCAACTAAAATCACCACTAAAATTTAAAACATGCTTTTAATGACAACTTATTTTCACGGTTAATACATTGAAATTAACAGAAAAAACTCTATCACATATTTGAAAGAATTTATTGTTGAATATTTCCCAATTTCACATACTTGCAATAATTTAATGAATATATATATACCTAATGAGGAAACAAACATCATAAACACTCACTTTCAAAGATATAATTTTCAAATTAAATCACGCAAAAATAATATCTGGTATTAGTGTCATTAAATTGTACGTGTACAACGCATCATCATCAAAGAATATAAATGAACAAAAATGGTTATGATCACAATTTCAAATTGTCATTGCAACTACACAATGATACCCATAAAAAAAAATAATTACATAACAATCATCATAAAGTCTCAAGTCACAACTACATATTATTTTTTTAAAAGGTTATTGGATTTTGTCTTTAGTCTTCGGAGGCGCGCCTTCCAAAACTATTTTCAGAACTTCCACTGATTTGTACCTAACAAAAACTACTCAACATTAATAAGAAGCACAAAAAGTATAACATATTAATAATCAACCATATAGATCAAATAGGAATTTATCTACCATATGAACAATCAACCACAGATGACATAAGAATTTTTGCGACAATGCATTATATCTACAGCAATTCAATCCTAAAAGGAACATTCATAAATTTAGCAGACAACAAAAACCAAGTAAAACAACAATTGAAGTTAACCTGCGATGTTGAAGTTGGCCCCAAATACAGCAGTTATTTTTACCAAATAATCAAACTGAGAACAGGGTACAAAGAGCTTTCATCAATATTGGTCTATCATGGAAAATAAAATATTCCAAGGAAATGGATAAGGATAGGATAACTTCTTAACTTTCCCCTCTAAATAAGTTGTGTGAGCCTTTTTCTTCTCTCTGTATTTCCTAACGGCTTCTCTGTTCCCTGACACCCTTCTAGGCTTTGGCACTGGATGTTCATTATGGTGTGGCACATCATCATTTTCAAATGGGAAGATTTGGGTGTGGCTGTGGTAGCATGTGTGAGTATGTGCAATGTCAGGGCCAGGGCCAGGAGGGTTGTAAGTGTGAGTGTGGTTACATGTTCCTGAATTCTTCGAGAAATCATCGATAAATGCATCCATCCACATGGATGCCTGAACATTGCTAGAAGAATCCAACTTCGGAAATATAACATGATGTGAACCCTCTACCTCTCCATCATCCATGTTCTCTTTCATTACTCGGCAATAAAAATCTAGTGAAGTCTTAAACCACCGGAGATATTTCTTCAGAAAACATCGACTTCCCTTGTCCAGACAAAGATAAACAATCCATAACAATCCAAAGAAACAAGGACCCAGTTTAAGTTTCACAGTTCACTAACTTTATTCAAAAATTTTAATTCAAAAAGGAGGGTGCATTTAAATCAGTTAAGAATTACACATAAATCAGTCAAGAATATATGCGAAGAACCACAGCTTTAAGAGCATAATCTTTCAATTGACAATGGCATATGTTCTTAAAAACAACAAAGATTTAACTAACCCACTAAATTCCATGACATATAATCAGAGAATAACCCTAAATCAATCAAGAAAAGTTGATCACAAAGCATATGGAAAGCCATTTTTCAAGCAATTAAAAAAATACCCAGATGGAGACTCTTCACAATAAGATAAATTTAAAAAAAAAAAAAACCTCAGATGGAGATTCTCCAGGAGAAGATAAAAGTCAAGCATAAAGATAAGATTTGATGCTAACATCTACTGAAGGGATTAATAAGGGAATCAGACTGAAATGGGGCAAGCTGAGAGAACATACAAAGGGCTTCTTCTAGGACAATTAAAAGTGATAAAAGCTGAAATATGAGTTTAAACTTCAAACAGTAATACAAAGATTTCTTCGTTTGTATAATAACTCTGAAAATTTCTTCGTTTGTTAACTGTGCTGTTTTTATCTGATCTTTTTTATGTATTGAATAGTAAAGTCAACCGACTGCAACTCCTTTAAATAGAATTAAGTACAGTATCACAAACTACTAAGATGTAAAAGGAAGAAACTTCTATTCTCACTATGAAGGATATTGTCTTACTAATTCTCATAATGTCCTTCCCCACTATCAGTACATTTCAATGCTCTCCGAGTCGACGACCAACATCAGGACCTTGAACTAGGGGTTGAACACGTAGCTTATGTGTAACTACTCAAAGATACATCAAAGAGAAGAAACTAACAACATAGCATAGAATCTTACCCCATTGAAGAACAGGAAACTCCCACCTCTGTTTGGGAACTGTAATAACATATGATGCAACCTGCAAAGGATTGAGAACTCTTTTAAAAGGAAGAAAAACAGGGGAAAAATGCAATAGATTACTATAGTAAATGCAGAAAATTTCAGAAAACTTGTCAATATGCATGCAGCTAGAGAACGGGGAGACCTACAAAGAACAGATGTCTCATCCTTTTCATAGAGAATATCCATGCATGCTTCAAAACTCAAGTGTTCCCCAACCCTTGCAACTCCCCTGAATTCACACAAAGTATAGAAAAAATGAAATAAGTGACCCTATAAGGATTACATATTAATTGAAGGGATATCTAACAAAATGATTGTTTTAATGAAGTAAACCTGTTTGGCGATAAATTCTTTTACGATATTACCAGATGAGAAGAACGGAGCATCAAGACGAACTGGATTCCAATATGGAAATCCTAATTAGGCTTTCTTCTCTATAATCACCCGCCACATAGAAGGAATTAGTATCAATCGGAGATCCTGAATTTCATGATCAATCAGAGCACGAAACCACATCCCAACACATCAACTTCACTAGTATATAGCTTGTGCAAAAAATTTATCAAACAATTAACTGAGAAAGTTTTAGATTCCATCAATCAAATCCCAAATATTTCAAAATCAACAAAAAACTACAACCACAGTGCATAATCAACTTTGAATTTAATAAATTAGACATGATATCCATCATTCCAAGGGACAGAAATGAACATTATCAATGGGAGGATGAAAATAGAAAATCTGAAAACGAAAATAGAAAATCTGAAAACGAAAATAGAAAAATCAGAAGGAAAATCCTACCTCAGATCTTCAACACAAACACAAAGGTGACAGGAGGATAACGACGCAAGAAACCACAGTCATGGAGCTCGGACAGTCAGAAGCGCCACCATTGATATGCAAGATCGATCGATCGAAAGGGGGGCAAGGTTGAGAGTTGATCATAGGTACTCCATCAAAAGTAATTTGGATTTTAGATTGTGTAAAAGTCACACAACCAGACATGCCTAAATGAAATTACTTGTTGCAATCCATATTCAATCAAATGCACCGACTCTTTTAACACGTATCCAAATAACAAACAAAAACCTATTACCAATCTAAAATTTGGTTTCCATCTCTTAGTGTTTGTCTTGAATGTGATTTTTGTGATAAGCTTTATTTACCTTGAAAAAGCTGAAATCATTTGGAAACTCGCTGATAGCCAAAAGAGCTTCATCAATCTTATCGTCCTTAACTAATGCAACGATTTTACATCGAATCGCGTCCTCATCACCAGGCGCAATGGCCAAAACTACAACCAGAAAAGTACATATATATACAGATATCCAAGAATAGATTCCACAACAAATCATATACATCAAAATCTAGGTCTGCATGTATATGTTGATATTGACCTTGATCTGCGACTTTGATGGCTTGATCGAATTCTGACAGGTCAATGTGACGATTGAGAGCGGTGAAGAGATCCTCCATGGCAATTGCTGGTTGTGAAGCAGAGGGGCTTTGGCTTCTCTTTTCCCTTCGGAGCCATAGCGAGAGAGACAAAGAGACAGTTAAGAGTGCAACTTGGCCGGACTTGCTAAGATTAAGCAGTGGCAATAATTGTTACCACTAAAACTATGATATTCAGTGGCAGCAGAAAAACTGTGGCTGAAAATAATATAAGAATGAAAAAATTGTTGCCATTAAAATTATAGACAATCAGTGGCTAATTTAGATTATTGTCACTAAATATTTTTGATATTGAATATTAGTGACGAATTAGTGATTTTTTTTGCTGCAATATTAAAATTGCAACTAATTAAATTCACATCCTATCTTTATCTTTAGGAACAACAATAATTTTTCACCTCTAAAAACATATATCTAGTGGCTACATTTTTAGCTACAAATTAAATTAAATATTACCATTAAAAGTTCAATTTCTTCTAGTGTTGTCTTTCGTTCTCTAGTATACATAGATCATGTAAACATTGTGATAGCCGATAATAGTGATTTATCGATATTATAAAACAAAATAAGCTATTACATAAGGATTTGGATGGTAATTGCAGAAATTATGTCGGATTTGGACTCTCTTAATTTTAAAATTTTGTTGATTCCGCTCAAATATTGACATGTTAAAAGAGTTAATTCTTGTTGAATGTAAGACTTCATTTCTTATATTCTCCTTTTTAATAGTTCTATCGTAGTATCTTTTGTGTTCTTCTTCACCCTTTTGCGGGGTGCTTTCTCTTTCATTATCACACTTTTCAAATTGTAATACTTAATCAATTATAATAATTGTGGTTTATCGATACATATAGAAAGAAAATCGTCAAATCAATGAATTTCAATAGCATTCAATATTGATGCATAAAAATATGGATGAATTATATTTTGCTGGGGTTTTTAAAATTCTCAATTTTTACTTTTAAAAATTAATTTTTTCATGTTAGACTCTCAATATCATTAAATGACTACAATATAACCCTCACATTAACTTCTATTGTTATTTCTGTCAAATCCAATTGCACGTCATCGGTATGAATTGGACGGAAATATCAATAAAAGTTAGTGTAAGAGTCATGTTCCAACTATTTTATAACATTAATGGCGCAATGTGAAAAACAAATATAATTTTTAAGAGTACAAATTAAATTTTTTAAAAAATTTTAGAGTATAAAGTGCAATTCTCCTTTAAAATATAATAATGAGGATTAATCAAATTGGACAAGAGTGATTGAACTTGATCAAAACTTTAAAAAAAAAACGGAAGTATTTGGGTGCTACAATAGATGGAGTCAAAACAAAAAAAGAAAAGTATTTCTTTTCTTGTGACTTTCATATGGATGGAGTCAAACTATAGTGTAAATTATGTTACCGAGGTTTTTCTTAATTATCATGCAAGAAATCGACCTAAATTACACTATTTGTTGGACAATAAAATATCTTTTACAAGGTTCGAATTTGAAAACTCGAGATAAGATATTGAATATTAAAATTTTAATTTCTTTAAATTTTTTTAAGGATATTATCATCAAGTTGGGTGGGTTTCTATCAAAAAGTTACTCATTTATATCCGATTTATTTATTAATTCATGTCTAATAAATTGTATCATATCAGATATATGAATTATGTATAATTCGATATATAAACTTGTCGTATCACGTATTTCTTTTGATTTGTTTCATCAATATCCGATTTATTTATTAATCATTTTACGTCAAGTCTACTCATTTACAAAACGAGCGGCTTATAAAAAACCTCAACATTCTAATTTCATGTTGTTTTAATTGGTCGCGTTATATTGTGATACTTTTGCAATTCTCATCTCACCCTAGAATAAAAAAAAATTAAAAAGAAAACAAATGTGAGGAATGCCTATGCTTAAGGGGTAGGAGTGTTAAACGTGTTGTGCGTTGGGATTTAACACGCTTTAAACTCACAGATAAACACATACAATCGAATAACAAACCAAGAATATAAAGCAATAAGAAACAAGACACAAAAATTTTACGTGATTCGATAATTTACTTACGTCTACGAAACTGCAGGGTTTTCACTATTGAGAAAGAGGATTACAGAGAGCGACTATACATGCGATCAAACCCTAATCACCAAAGTAGCAGTCTTTTATATGTCCTACCCACCGGGTCACAAAACGGGCCTAAAAACTTTTCTTCGGGGCCGTTGCCCCCGAACCCTCACAAGGCTTGTCCATGAGCGCTATAGCTTGAGCTTATTGGTCAAGCCTTCGCTCCATAGCTCAAGCCTCAAAAAATTTTCCATTAAAAATCACGCAACATTACTTTGGGTCGGATCATCATCCAGATCAACATACAAACTAAACTCCACAAAGGCCCAACATTGTGCTCGTGTAACCCACATATCATATTATTTGTGTCGTGTCATTATTATTCATATCATGTTTGTGCCAAGATTCATGAGAAAAAAATTTTATTTAGTGTGTTGTGAGTATTAAATATTAATCTAGACTATTTTATTATGTTTATTGAATAATTGTGTTAATTTTATAATCATTTGTGTTGGGTTCATGCCGAGGTTGTATCAATGGGTCAGAATTGAGACCCCTACTTACGGGTCACTAAATTTTTATAGAGTTAACTATTTATTTGATCGTTAAATTAAATTATTTGTGTCAATCAAGCCCTTGAACTATGTTTTGTGTCAACTTACTTTCTGAAATATAACATTTGTGTCAATATAATCCTGAGGTCTAAATTTGTCGTGAAGTAGGCGGAATTCCTCACATTCACAAACTCATAACCGTTAAACTATACCCTAATTCCGATTCATATGATTCGCAAGTGAAGAATTTCGTCAAAGTTAACTGCAAATTTGAACAAAATAGGTCACATTAACATAAATTGTATAGTTTATGGGCTAAATTGATATAAATCATAATTTAGAGACTTAATTAACAAAAATAGTATAATTTTTAAAAGCTAATCTCAACTTGTACCCTGAAAGATCATTCGAATCTCAATTTATATTTTTAAAGTTTAAAAATATTAATTTACACCCTAAAAAATATAAATACGTATTAATGTGCACCTGAAACTAACTAACTGCCGCCTACTTTGCAGTTAAAAAAGTTTGAGTTAATTATAAATTTTACCCCTCAAAGTTTAAATATTTCATATTTATGATCCAAAAAAAATTTCATCTATTAATGTTTGTTAAATAGCTCTCAATTGTGTGTGTCATAATATTTTATTATCGTGTTTGAGTTAATAAAAAAATATTTTTAACACAAAATATTTTTTTGTCGAGTCAATTGCGTTATAGCATATATTTCACATTTATGACAATTCATATAATACTATTTAATATTTTTTAAAAATTAAAAAAAAAACTATTTTTTGACTATAATATTCGTTAAATAATTATTTTTTGTCTACAATTGTATTATTCATATATAACTTTAATTTGATCAGACAATAGCAAGATTTGTGTCTAATTGTTGACAAAAAATAACTATTTAACAAGTATTGTAGGCAAAAAATAAGTTTTTTTTTTAAATTTTAAAAATAATTTTTTATTGACTCGAACACGACAAAAAATTTTTATGATACGATACAATTGAAAGTTATTTAACGAGCATTAATGGATAAAATTCTTTTTGGATTATAAATATGAAATATTTAAACTTTGTGGGGTATAATTTATAATTAGTCCAACATTTTTTAACATCAAAATAGACGGAGTTAGTCTCAGGTACACATTAATATGAATTTATGTCTTTTAGAGTATAAATTAATATTTTTAAACTTTGGGGGTATAAATTATGATTTAAGTAAACTTTCATGGTGGAAGTTGAGATTAGCCTTTTAAACTTTTTATTCCTAATATGAATAGGGACGTTTGAATTGAAATGTGGTGCGATTTAAAAGTGAGGCTAAGCTGGCTCACTGGAGTGGACCACGAGGGGCTCTGCTGAGTCTGCACCCCAGCTGAGCCCCTCTCGCTCGGTGTCGTTTGAGCCGTATAAATTGCGTCACTTGAGTTGAGGAAAGAGAAAAAGAGACAGATCTGTTTCTGTTGGGCGTCACGGCTTCGCTGAACCACCAGCGTCGACCCCCCTCTCTCTCTTCACCAAATTGAAAACCTGACTCAGTTCATCTCTTTCTCCTCGCTCGGCTCAGATCCGGCTGAGATCCAGCGCCCAATTCAACCTCCACTCCCTCTCTTGGCCTCGTCTCCTTCCTCCCTCGCTCTGCAACTCTTTCTCTCTCCTCTATTCACCTTCTTTATCCCCCCCTCTCTCTCTCTCTCTCTCTCTCTCTCTCTCTCTCTCTCTCTCTCTCTCACACACACACACACACATATACTGATATAATATGTAGAGTAGCATATGCTTTCTGGGAGACGTGAGAGCTTGAAGGTTGATGGTGACTCACTATCTCTGTATGGCTTTCCTTCCTAAAGCCCTAACTTCTTCAATTTTGGTACGGAATTTTGAGCTTTAATTAATCTTCTCAATTTTCTTACAGCTTGCTTTGCGACGCAGTGGCTGAGGCTTTAACGGATAAGAACGATCGTTTCACTCACATTTCTCATGAATTTTGGGGTAAAAATCTGCAATTTTTGCTGCTCTTTTATAATCAGAATCTCTTTATATTCTAGCATTTGGAGACTTGATTTTCTAGATGTTAATATTTAGTTTTCAATAATTTTGAACTAGACTGGAACAGTCGCCGGGAAAGCTGGGAACATAATGGAGTGGAATGTTAACAATGGATATAAAAGCTTAAAGGGTATTTGCCAGAACGTTTCTTACAGATAGTATGAGTTTGTGATTTAATTGGGTGCTTAACTGTATTTTAGTTTTTGTAATATTTATTTAGCTTGCTAAAATTGAATATAGAGGATTGTACACCTGAAAATGGCCTATTTAGTCCTGATATTCCTTGTGCGAGGTTTCATTTCTTGGAATTTGAGGAATCCCCATTTTCGTGTGACTTTTAATGACTTACAACTGTTGTAAACTTTCATTAATTTCTACATTCTCAGTCCAGCGTCTTTGTTATTGTTGAAGAATATAAATATTTGTGTTACATCTGGTCTAACAAATGTTTTAACACATTTGTGGGTTAACAAGGTATCAAAGTGGGAGGTCAATGTCACCTTGGAAATTAATATTACTTACACGTTCTTTTCCAGAGTCCTGGACTGCATGTGACTGTAAGAATTTAGATATTTTAACTTGAGGTTTTAGAGAAGTTGGTGGTCTGTACTGGCTACTGGGAGTCTGGGATCATCTGTTTGTATATATTGTTTGTTGAGGACATAGAAATAGTTCAATAATAAAATTTATGGATGTTTGGCTGTATAACTGGGAAGTATGACACTTGTAAGGGTAGCAGTGATGACCATTTAAGAAGTTATGTGCTTTATAAAATGTGAAGGCATAGATGTGCAAATGTCTTATACTTATTGAGGTGCAACAGCCATGCTGTTGGGATTAGTCAGCTGGCCAGGCTAGGCCAAACTTAATACCACTTTTAGTCACTGAATTTTCAACTCTTGGCCCAAATTTTCTTTTGTAACTAGCTTTTCTATTGTTTCTTCTGCCAGACTGTGCCGCCCTTGAGCAAGAGTCTCCTGAATTAAATTAAAATCAACGCAGTTGAAATTTGACTTTGCTTAGATAAGCCGTGTTTTATGTTTTCTGTTGCTTGGCTCTGCTCGACTGCTTACAGCACTGTTTGCATGCATAATGGAAACCATCAGCAGAGGATTATTAGCTTTTCTACGAGCAAACATCAAATTTCTTTGCTCTTTGGTCTAGAGGATCAAATATGGAAACATTCTCCCCTGCACAAATCCACATAAAACTCAAAGGGCTAGTCATTTGTTTATTTTTTTAGGTTTTCTAAATTTTGAGTCTTCTGTGCACAAGATATATGGAAATAAATTATTTGAAAGAACTTAATTAAACATGATAGGTAGGTGTAAGTAATAGATGGAGAGTTCATTTGGAGAGCTTTTCATAACTTTTTCGTTGGCCGATGCACTAATATTAAACATTATTAAACACGAAAAGAAAGAGGACGCAAAGTAAAACAAATCATCTTGTATCAGTTTACATGCTTCATTTTGTGGTGGCATTTACCTTCTGGAAAAAAAAATATGGTGGCTTCTGTTGAGTTTCACTAACTTATTTTTGGTATGCTTTAGAGATATTGTGTAAACAAATATGCTTGATTTTATTTATTTGTGTGCATTTTCTTTTTTACATTGGTTTGAAATGGTCAAGAAATTGTAAGGTGGCAGGCTTTTTTGTTTTTGTTTTTGTTTTGTTTTTTGGGGAGTGAGTGAGGAAGGGAGTGTATTCTTAGTCCTTAACATAATGAAGCAAGCTCCAGGCTTTATGACCGTAAATGTGTGAAGCGAGAGCTCCAACATGGGATGGTCTGGTGGCTGAAGGTCATTTCTTTCTTTTCAGCATTCTCATGTAAATTTTGATTTGCTCCAGAAAATCTTATCCTGTTTATCTATGCATTATGCTCAAGTATGTTCACTTTTTGTTCAAACAAAAGAACCTTTTCTACAACGAGGGTTATTGCTGGCCTTTTCAACACTTCTCTGTATAAACAAGTTCTACTTCAGTTCCATGGCTGTTGCTTTTATGTAGCATCACTATTAGAAATAGAAAGATTGTACTTTAATAAACGTGTAAAGAATGATGAATGGATCTGCCACCTTTAAATTGTAACCTGCTTGTTATTTTGTTCTAGAGTTGCATATTATGCTTTTGACTTCTACGAGATTCAAATTTGCATGTTGGCATTTGCTTTATGGTGCATGAATTCACAATTCTATTTCATCTCTTGTTTCTTAAAGTAGATATGGAACCAAAATCAGGGATGGAAGTAGCACTCATTCCGAACATTGACCCAATAGATATTGGGTTGGGTTCTTCAGAAAAGGGAAATGTGGTTCCTCCGGGAAAACCAAGAAAGAAGACTATGACATCAGTTTATCTCAAGTTTTTTGAAACAGTTTCTGATGGAAAGAGTCGGAGGTGCAAGTTCTGCGGACAGAGCTATTCTATTGCTACTGCAACTGGTAAGCCTATAAAAATGATTCTATTTCATGCCAAGTTTTTTTCTTTCTCCCAAGGAATCAAAACGTTGTTTCAGAAACATAAAGGCAATATTTATCCGAAACAAAGGCCAATGCAATAAACTGTGGATCTATTGTTGTGTTATGCTCAAAGCTCACTATGAGATTTAGATGTAGCAAAAGTTAATTGGGTCAAAACAGGATGTGCCAAAGTCCTATATATGATTCAAACTTATTCATGTTGAACCAATCTACCTATAATGTTGGCATGCTTTTGGTGGGCTTTGCTCACAGAAACATCGGTATTCATTTGTACTAAGTGTCATGTTTTTGACTGAGCTTCCTTTTTTTTTTTTGGCCAAAGGCAATTTGGGAAGGCACCTCAGCAATCGTCATCCAGGATATGATAAGTCAGGCGATACTGTCATCATTTCAGCTCCACAAGGACCACAACCTAGCCCAATTGTTAAGAAACATCAACCCCAGTTGAAAACATCTCAGGTTGAGCTTGACCATTTAAACTGGATGCTCATCAAGTGGCTTATTTTAGCATCGCTTCCTCTTTCTACCTTGGAGGAAAAGTGGCTAGAAAACTCCTTTAAATTCCTAAACCCAACTGTACAAATCTGGCCAGTTGGGAAGTTTCAAGCAGTATTGCGAGAAGTTTTCAGGAGTATGCGGGAAGACGTAAGAGCAATTCTGCAACAGGTTTCTTCTAAGGTCTCGATCACCCTCGATTTCTGGACTTCCTATGAGCAAATTTTGTATATGAGCATTACATGCCAGTGGATTGATGAACACTGGTCCTTCCAGAAGGTTCTTCTCGATATTTGTCGTGTACCTTTCCCTTGTGCGGCAGCTGAGATCTATCACACTCTAGTGAAGGTCCTCAAGCTGTACAATATAGAGAACAAAGTTTTTTCCTGCACCCATGATGATAGTCCAAATGCCACACAGGCATGCCATACCTTGAAAGATGATATGGACGATCAAAAAGTGGGTCCGTTCTGCTATGTTCCTTGTGCAGCTCGAACGTTAAATTCTATTATAAATGATGCGTTAAGAACTACAAATCCAGTTATCTCTAAGATCAGGGAGTTTGTATTAGAGATGAATGCATCCTTAGAAATCTCACAGGATTTTATTCAATATACCACAGCATATCAAGAAGGCAATTGGAAATTTCCGCTTGATGCCTCAGCCCGGTGGAGTGGCAGTTACCAGATGCTTGATATTGCACGTAAGGTATTTGCTCTGTCCCTTGCACACTCATAAAAACTCTGTAGGTCTGTTTGCTAATTTTTTTTGGCTAAAACCTATGAAATGTCCACTGGATTTTGAAATTACTGTATATGAGATTCTCAGGGCCTAATTTCTTTTCAAATTTATTTTAACCCCTCCCCCCAACACACCTAGACACACAAAAAAGATACGGAAGAGAACGAAAAGCATGATCTTTAGGGTATAGGTTTGGGTAAAATTGATTTGGAAGAGATGTCCTTGTGTCGTGAAATGTGTTTCAGACAGCTAGGTGTCTTTCATTTTCATTTTTTTTGCTCTCTCTGACCAATGGTGGGAATCAAAACTCCTAACCTCTCCCTTTCCTTTGAGATGCCATGCTAACAGTTAGCCGCTGCGCAATTCAGCTGTTGAATCTCCATGGTACCCTTTTGTGTCTGTGCTGGTGAATTCTAGATAACTAGCAGTGCACCATGTAAGTTTTTATTTACAGGAAAGCTGCATGAAAATGCTGAAATTCTCACCTAGATTGTAGGTAGGCTACAGTGCTACACACTTGGGCATTCCTTCTAATCTGGTAATGATCATTGATTGATCATAATCAGAATAAATGGTGGGTATTTATTGTTTACCTGCTATCAATAATATATTGTTGCTGCCTCCAATAGTTGATTTTTTGCATTTAGTTTGATTGCGTAATTCATATAGTTTGTATTGCATAGTTTTGACGTAATGAAGTTGTTATATTCAGATATTTGTTATTTTGTCATTCAAGAGCATAAGTAATGTAGGATTCTAGTCACTAGTGGTTACTTCTATGGATGACCTTATGGGCAGTGCATAGAGGACTGCTCTCTCTCTCTCTGGACCAATAATTGCTTGGGGTTTATCATGCAGGCTGCTAAATCAATGGAAACTGTCATCAGGAAATATGAGATGCTAGGCAGTAGGATGCTGCTAAACTCGGTAGAGAAGAATGCCGTCAGTATCATGCATGCATATCTAGAACCCTTCTTCAAAACCACGACCAACATATGCACAAACAAAGTACCAACAATTGGATTGGTTCTCTTCTTCATGGATCACATTTCTGAGATGATTGTGGCCTGCAGAGAGTCCCGTCACAGCCCTGACTGGCTCAAGAATGCTGCTGAAGGCATGACTACTAAGGCCCAGAGCTACAATGACCAGGTTTGCAACGTATTCACGTACATGGCTGCAATTCTTGATCCTCGAATTAAAGTGGAACTCATCCCTGAAAGTCTAAACTCAGAAAATTATCTAGAAGAAGCAAGAAGCCACTTCATGAGATATTACTCTACCAGCCATATCCCATCAATTAGTGGTTCATATGGTGCTCAAGAGTTGGAAGATGGTGGGAGTGTTTCTTTCGCAGAGGAAATTGCTCGTAAAAAACGAAGAGCAAGCATGAGCTCTGCCACGGATGAGCTTACTCAGTATCTATCGGAGCCTCCAGCTACAATACCAACAGATGTTTTGGAATGGTGGAAGGTGAATAGCACACGCTATCCTCGGTTGTCCATGATGGCTCGAGATTTCTTGACCTTACAGGCTACTTCTGTGGCACCTGAAGACCTCTTTTGCAGCAAAGGTGACGAGATTGATAAGCAGCGGTTCTCAATGTCTCATGAAAGCACAGAAACTGTGCTTTGCATCAGGTCATGGACACAATGTGGGATGAAGTTCAAGTATAATTCAACTGAGATTGATTACGAGAGGTTGATGGAGTTGGCTGCTGCTGCTGCTGCTGCCGCATCAGATAGCAACGGTGCAGGGTCTGACAAGAAGCAGAAATGATATTTTTGGCTGAGCATTCGTAGCATTTAATCCCACTAACAAAGACAGAGATGCCTTGTGACATAGGTCCTGTATCAACATGATGATGCAAGTAATTCCACTTAAAGGAAAATGAGTACTTTGTTTTCCATTTTATACTCTGTTGTATGTAGAGGACAGAGAATCGTCAATGTACAGGTCAGAATGGAGATAATGCTAACCCGTGTATGTTTTATTGTTTAGTACCAAGTAAATTTTCAAACATTGGTTCCCGTTGGTACCTGGTGGATCCTGTGGCTGTCTATTAAACCTATTGTCGGCATGAATATGCCTAATTTGACCGACCCCCTCCCACCCCCCAAAAAAAAAAACCCAAAACAAAAAACACAACACACAAATGGGTATCCTCTCGGTTGTGATTCAATGCTNGTTTTTATTTACAGGAAAGCTGCATGAAAATGCTGAAATTCTCACCTAGATTGTAGGTAGGCTACAGTGCTACACACTTGGGCATTCCTTCTAATCTGGTAATGATCATTGATTGATCATAATCAGAATAAATGGTGGGTATTTATTGTTTACCTGCTATCAATAATATATTGTTGCTGCCTCCAATAGTTGATTTTTTGCATTTAGTTTGATTGCGTAATTCATATAGTTTGTATTGCATAGTTTTGACGTAATGAAGTTGTTATATTCAGATATTTGTTATTTTGTCATTCAAGAGCATAAGTAATGTAGGATTCTAGTCACTAGTGGTTACTTCTATGGATGACCTTATGGGCAGTGCATAGAGGACTGCTCTCTCTCTCTCTGGACCAATAATTGCTTGGGGTTTATCATGCAGGCTGCTAAATCAATGGAAACTGTCATCAGGAAATATGAGATGCTAGGCAGTAGGATGCTGCTAAACTCGGTAGAGAAGAATGCCGTCAGTATCATGCATGCATATCTAGAACCCTTCTTCAAAACCACGACCAACATATGCACAAACAAAGTACCAACAATTGGATTGGTTCTCTTCTTCATGGATCACATTTCTGAGATGATTGTGGCCTGCAGAGAGTCCCGTCACAGCCCTGACTGGCTCAAGAATGCTGCTGAAGGCATGACTACTAAGGCCCAGAGCTACAATGACCAGGTTTGCAACGTATTCACGTACATGGCTGCAATTCTTGATCCTCGAATTAAAGTGGAACTCATCCCTGAAAGTCTAAACTCAGAAAATTATCTAGAAGAAGCAAGAAGCCACTTCATGAGATATTACTCTACCAGCCATATCCCATCAATTAGTGGTTCATATGGTGCTCAAGAGTTGGAAGATGGTGGGAGTGTTTCTTTCGCAGAGGAAATTGCTCGTAAAAAACGAAGAGCAAGCATGAGCTCTGCCACGGATGAGCTTACTCAGTATCTATCGGAGCCTCCAGCTACAATACCAACAGATGTTTTGGAATGGTGGAAGGTGAATAGCACACGCTATCCTCGGTTGTCCATGATGGCTCGAGATTTCTTGACCTTACAGGCTACTTCTGTGGCACCTGAAGACCTCTTTTGCAGCAAAGGTGACGAGATTGATAAGCAGCGGTTCTCAATGTCTCATGAAAGCACAGAAACTGTGCTTTGCATCAGGTCATGGACACAATGTGGGATGAAGTTCAAGTATAATTCAACTGAGATTGATTACGAGAGGTTGATGGAGTTGGCTGCTGCTGCTGCTGCTGCCGCATCAGATAGCAACGGTGCAGGGTCTGACAAGAAGCAGAAATGATATTTTTGGCTGAGCATTCGTAGCATTTAATCCCACTAACAAAGACAGAGATGCCTTGTGACATAGGTCCTGTATCAACATGATGATGCAAGTAATTCCACTTAAAGGAAAATGAGTACTTTGTTTTCCATTTTATACTCTGTTGTATGTAGAGGACAGAGAATCGTCAATGTACAGGTCAGAATGGAGATAATGCTAACCCGTGTATGTTTTATTGTTTAGTACCAAGTAAATTTTCAAACATTGGTTCCCGTTGGTACCTGGTGGATCCTGTGGCTGTCTATTAAACCTATTGTCGGCATGAATATGCCTAATTTGACCGACCCCCTCCCACCCCCCAAAAAAAAAAACCCAAAACAAAAAACACAACACACAAATGGGTATCCTCTCGGTTGTGATTCAATGCTGTATCCAAACGTCAGGGAGATTTATCTTTAACATTGCTATTCACAAAAAAAAAAAATCACTCACTTCCCTCCAAAATTCAAACTAGTTTTCTTTTAGGGAAAATCAAATCCTAATTATTTTCTCTCTTGACACAGTTAGCATCTTAATTCTCCACTAATTCTTCCATCTGATCATCGAGTTCACTTGCTGCGTCCCTCTTCTTCATTTCTCGATAGAGAGTAAAACACAACAGTCTTAGTTGGCAGTCTTTGTTCCTGTATTGTAGCCCCTTCACAATAGAGGCATAAACTGTTGCCTTGACTGGAGAATTACAAAACCTTTTCTGAACCAGACAATCTTCCAGAACATTAATCGATGAAATTGTTAAAAGGTTCATCAACCGCTAGAAAGGCCCGAAAGGAAAAGCAAGTTCGGGCACACACACACCCCGAGCGATCCTACAACAGGCCTGAAAACCCAAATATGGACGAGGAAAAAAAACTTAATGCATCAAATTCTACCTTGTTTGGGTAAAGAAAATACAAACAATATATACTAGGGCCATTTCAAAACTGCAATATGAGGTGGAAAATTGCACTCTTCACTAATTTCAGTACACCAGATAAAAATATCAGCAAACTTGGCATGATCATTATTCAATGCGTACAAAAAATGATCAGTGATGTGACGAAGCGGATAGACTGTATGAATCAAAGAAAAGCGTAGTTAGCATCGATTAATGTTCAAGTTGCGCTAAAGTCTTCCCCGTACTTCAAGTTGCGCTAAGGTCTCTCGAGCCAAGTTTCTTAAAGTACAGTCTATATAAAGACACTGTTAAAGTAGCTTCCCTAATGAACAAGGAAAAATAATCACCAAATGTATTAAAAAAAACTCAACTTCTATATATAATGTACTGGCCTACAAGATGTTATCCTCCAGATTCACAGAACCAAAATCGGTTTCATTCTTTATCTCATAATGCTGCAGCCCATGTGGAGCCATCTATATCAACAGGTGCTCCCTCCCATACTCACGAACAATTACAGGCACACTTGTGGTTGGGATCTGCAGTAGTCATCACATAATAATCATAAAATAAATAAACATTGGCTGATTTATCAACAAGCAAATGATCCATGAGCATAACAAGTTAAAAAGGTTTATGTAGTTTAAGATTCAAGATGCATGATACTTTTCTCTTCATCGCTGCTCCCCTTTGCTGATCTCTAAACATCCATTAAGGTGCTTTTTATAGTTTGAAATAAATGCAATTAACTTTCCCCTCTGGATATTTATGCATACAAGTACGTCAATGCCTGGCTCACACACAAACATTTTTTATCCTTACTGACCCTTAAATACCTGATAAAAAAAATACAGATATTATCATATACACGAAGCCCTTGTAGTTTGAACTTTGCAAGTTGTAATATGTTTTCAACTTAAGATTCATAAGATTGCACAAGTTTTAATGCCCACATGACCATAGTAGACAAGGATGGTGGAACAGTTTCATGACTCAATCTTCAAAGGTGATTGACCCTAGGCACTGGAGATATATACAAAAGTTAATGATTTTTTGGTCTATTGTTATATACTAAGGCAGTTGAAAAGTATTGCACATAGTTAGCATCACCAACTTTTATAACAGTACAACCAACAAAATAAGGAAACAAATTGATAGCTCACATACTGCAACAAAAGAATAGATTTTGAAAAACCGTTAATCCTCTGCAGCATGCTGGAAAATAAAAGTTCCAAAGCGATGACTTACCATGCCATAATCTGTAATGATCATAGAGACATAGTCTGATGGAGTAGCATCATAACTGTTAACAGTTATTCCAAAAGAGTATCAGAACGCATAAAACATCTCTCCAGAGTTTTGATTAAAAAAATCTCAAAACCTACATTAAATTCAGAAATTGCAGATTTTCCTTATTAGCCCGATAATCTGAGTCACTAACATCCATTCTTCCAGGCACCTTGGATATGGCATCTGGATCACCTACAGACATTTCAGGGATTCAAAGACAGAAGTGTCATCTCAGACTGTATCTCTCAGACCAAAAGAATATTTGTAGAGGAGAGCAGAAAGTTGAGTATTGATCAATATATTAACAGACATACCGAGTTCATTTGAACAAATTGAATCCAGCTGTACCCTTTCATGAAACTTATACGCCTCACAGCAAATCAAAACTGGAACACGAAATGCATGAGCAACCATAGCAACGCATGCAGTCCCAACCCTCGAGTATACAGTTCCATTAGACAATACAGAGGCAGCCCCCAAAAATACTTTTGTAACTTCATGCATGATATAAGAAACAGCATTTATGTGAGTATACGTACAACTAAGGCCTTTCTCCATCAGCCTACGAACCAGTGTTTGGCCCTCAAGGTTAGGACGTGAGTCTACGACCACAACACGAAATTTTTTCTCATGCTCAAGAGCATGTAGCAGAATCATTTCAACAACGGAGGATGAACCATAAGTGAGAAGAACATCACCATCCCTGATTTTTGTCACCGCATGTCTGACTATTACCTTGTCAGCAAGTACTATCTTCTCATCAATAAAGCGATCAATGTCCGAACACAGAGAAGCTTTTGCCTCTGACTCGCGCATAGTTAAGGGTAACTTGGCAATATGAGCCTTTAGAAACCGAATTGCATTCCCCATGCTGATTGATAGTGGCCTGCATTGTATCAAAAATGAAACATAACTATTGACTTTTGCAGTTAAATCTCTAGCTAGAGTTTTTTCCGGTGGTGTGGAGTAGTCTTTGATAACTTCTTTAAATGCTTGAAGCATTGCGATACAACGAGCATTACCCCCCATAATGTCTCCGGCTAAATAACGTAATCCTACCTGGAAAAAAGTTCATACATAAACATTAAAAACCCTTTGATATATTATACTTGTCTCAGTCTTTCTCAAATATCAAGATAACTCATCCTTCACTAAATTTTAGTTCTATTAGTTAAAACATATTCGTCATTAGACAATTTTATACAAGATGCATCCATAACAACTTGAGAGATGGGTCCACAAAACCATGTTACCAATATAGCTGTCACAGGATAACTCACTATTTGCAAATTTTCCACAAAGGAGACTACTCGTGAAGGCCTTGCGTCAACAACCAGCCACTTAAGCTCGTAAAGGTGCAGACACACACAAGCTACACACGATATATAGGGAAAACACTCCTCACCCTTATATTATTGTTCAACAATATAAGGAACTCACAAATTCGACCAAGGAGATTCTGCCTACAGATTGGCCTGGGATTCCCTATTTGTACAAGAAATATGGCAATTGACACCCCCAACTGTCTAGGGTTTTACTAGCTCACTAACCAACCAGTTGCATAGGCATGGTACTTTCTAGCAACAACTGTCATGACCGGCTGCATCTTTGCTTGATAGGTGGCTAACAGTTCCTCCAATTCATCACTTGACATGGTAATTGCCTACAACTGCTCGCCCATGATCAGGTCATGCCCAATAACCACCCTCAACTACTTCCCATGATTAGGCCAAGCACACCAACTACTTTCACCCACCTCATTCCATGCTTTGAGCAGACCTGTCTCAGCCATGTGCCAACAAATTCGCAGCCAAGTTTGCCCACAAACCAATCAAGAATGTTGAGCCGAGCCTAAGTTGGGCTTTGTGAGACCATGCACCAACATTGCCTCAATTGTGCCCACTATGCGCTACCATCCTCAGACGTGTGGTCTTTCGTCGCGGCAGCCCCCCCAACTTTTCTAGTCCCAACATTGTCTTGCGTTCTCTTGTCCGCCTTGCCTCACCAATGGCAAGGACCTTGTTACATGCCTTGCCTAGTGTTGCCAAGGCTTAGGGGCACCAGGCTTGCCTGGCTCTCGGTGGCCCTCAACTATCACCACCCCCTTGTATATGCTCTTAGAAGGATTTCCAAAGTGACATGTGCGGACATCAATTGAACCGAGGATGTATAATGATGAGAGCTTGGGGCATTGTGCTTGGAACTTTTGTCAAACACCTTAGCTACTTCACCGTGGATCAAAGACATGGAGTGCCTAGGTGTAAGGTGCCACCAAGACATGTCCATGTCTGCCCAGGCCAATTGGGGTCTGACAAGCCACCCCCATTTGAAGCATCTAACGACCTCATTGGAAGGGTAGTTGGATACTACTTGTTGGAGATATAACAACAGCCTAGTTTATTAGGGTTTTATTAATTTTTTTTTTTTTTACCTTTTTGTCCTTATGATAACTCTCATTGACTATATATACGGGGGCTCTACACTTAGTTTGTATCCCTTTTAGACTCACATATTTCTCTAGTTGGTATCAGAGCCAAAACCCTAACCCCTACCTCTAACCCTAACCCTAGCCTCCTATACCTTGTTACCACAGCCTAGCAACCACCTGTGCCACCACCAGCAACCAACAACCGCTGCATACCACCCAGTGAAACCACCTAGCACTCCACCAAACCGACGACATTAAACCAGCAAACAATACCCATCGACAACAACTTATCCTCACCAACGAAACCGACAGCAACAGCCGCTACATACCACCCAGTCGAAACCACCGAACACTCCACCAAACTAGCAAATAATACCCTACCAGTCCACTTTCCGACATACTCAGCCAACCCCCAAGTCCACCAGCCGACATAAAAGACTCCCATAACCAGTCTGCCAAACCATAAAGCACCGACCAGTCTGCCATAAAGCACTGACCAGTCTGCCAAACTAATTGTAACCCAATACCCAGCAAACCCAAAACCCAGCAACCCAAATACTCCAAATATACCAACAAGCCTTCACATCCTGACTATAAATCAAACCTAAGGCTAGCAACCCAAAACAGCCCATACAAAACCAGCCACCCACCGACCCAAGTGCCCGATACTCACCCAAGTACTAGGCCTACTGTTGGGTTATTGTCCAGCCCACTCATCAACTTACTATCGAGAGCGTTTTTCGTTGTAGCTTCGTGCTTCGCACTTTTCGCTATAGTGCTTCCATTTTTTTCACACCACATTTCTTTTTCCTAGGTTTGTAGTATGTAGGACCTTTTAAGAGGAGTTGAATCCCTTTTTTTTTTTTTTTCGTTGATCTGCTCTTGATGCAGTAGATCACTTATTTATCTTTAGTGGATTTCTGGGCACCGTGACCTGATTATTTGAGAACTTTTTGGACCTTCTTTAATTGTCGCTACTGTTCGACTGAAGGTATATTGTTCTCCCTTATTTTATTCCTCTATTTATCTTAGAGTAATTTTTCTGTCACGGGTGTCCTAGTATTGTTGTTGATATGACTATTACTGAGGGACTTGAGAACCCTACTGTTGACACCTCTACCGTTGAGACATCTATGGGTACTTTCACTTTTATGTTTGACCAGTATACAGTACCTACTAGCACAGTTGCATTACCAACACTACCGGGCATGATCTCTCAAAAAATTACGGCACAGTTGTTGAATGGTCGTAACTTTGCTGAGTGGTCTCGCTCATTCCAACTTTTCTTAGGCCGTGTAGGGAAACTTGGTTGGCTGACGAGATCTCACCCAAAGCCAGCTGATGCCGACCCTGGATATTCTGCGTAGTTCTTTGAGAACTGCGCCATTCTTAGATGGTTATTTGGCTCGATGGAGCCATCTGTTTGTAGGATCCACCAGTTTCATAGCTCTGTTCCGAAGCTATGGAGCGCACTATCAAAGATGTATTCTCAGTCAGGACGGAGAGTTCGTGTTTATGAGCTTTCTCAGGAGCTCATATATGCTCGGCAGGGAGATATGACTGTTCAAGATTATTATGGCTATTTGACTCAGCGCTGGCTTGAGTAGGAGACTCTACGTCCTCTTGCTACTATTCCGAAGATAGAACCCGAGGGAGCAACATTCTTGCATACTCAAGAGCAGGAGGATAGGATTCACAAGTTCCTTATGGGGCTTCGTGATGAGTTTGAGGGACCTCGTTCTCAGATCTTGTCGATGTTGACACTTCCTTCTCTTTATGAGGTGTATGGGATAATTGAGCACCATGAGCGTCGAGTCCGTATTGCATAACTTCCAGTTGCGGCTTTGACTCCTTCGACTGACCAGATGGCCCTTACAGTTGTTGCAGAGTCTCGTTCAGGATCCTCAGTCAGGGGTGGCCAGCGCTCAGATCAGCGCCGTCAGAGTGCCTCAGATCAGCGTAGACAGGGGGATTCCTATCACTGTGATTATTGTGGCCAAACAGGACATCTCAGGGCTACTTGCTGGAAGCTCCATCCAGAGCTTAAGTTGCCTCCTCGCAGCCGTACTGTTGCTATTGCTGAGGTACCACCACCCACTACCGCTACTCTTGCTACTGCTACTCCACCTTGGCATAGTGATATGGATGCTATCATTTCTCGATTAGATATACTTATGTCTGCTCTGATTTCTCAGAGTCTGACTACTGTTGCTGTCACCACTACAAGTATACNCTCCTTGGCAAAGTGATATGGATGCTATCACTTCCCGATTAGATATACTTATGTCTGCTCTGACTTCTCAGAGTCTGACTACTGCTGCTGTCACCATTACAGGTATATCTCGTGCCTTTCACGCTTGTGCCAGTTCATCTCCCCTTTGGATGTTAGACTCGGGTGCGAATGGTCACATGACAGGTGAGGCCCATCACTTCACCACTTTTATCGAGCAGTTACATACACAGGTTCAGTTAGCAGATGGGACACATGCCCCTATTGTTAGTAGGGGTATAGTCCGCCTCCCAGATGGCCTTACATTACGTTCAATTTTTCATGCACCAAAGTTGGCCATGAATCTATTATCTGTACATCAGTTAACCAGAGATTTTCAATATGCGGTTGTATTCTTATCTGATTCGTGTTATTTGCAGGACCTGAGTACCAGGAGGATTATTATCAGGGGACATGAGAAATATGGACTGTATTATCTTGGCAATCCACCTCCAGTTTCACCAATTTCTCCACCTACATCACCTGCACCTGCTTTGTCTTTTTTTGTTCCTAGCTTGCATGCTAGTATTTTACCTAGTAGTTGTCGTTATAATTTTTCGTCACAAACTGTTCAGTTGTGGCATAACCGTTTTGGACATACAAATTTTAAATATTTATATATGTTGTTTCCTGCTTTGAGCAATGTTTGTGTTGGTGGTAAATATGACTGTGTTATATATTCCTTATCGAAACATGTTAGGGCCAGTTATATTCCTCGCATGCACCAGTCACCTAAGCCATTTGACCTAATACACTCTGATATTTGGGGACCCTCTCCCGTTATTGGTTTGTCAAGTGTCCGGTATTATGTGACATTTATAGATGACCATACCCGTTGTACTTGAGTCTATCTTTTGCATAGAAAGTCTGATGTACTTCCTATAATTACTCAGTTTTTACAAATGATTAAGACACAATTCAATGTCATTGTTCGTGCTCTTTGTTCGGATAATACCAAAGAATATGTGTCTGATGCCTTAGTGTCTCACCTTTCTTCTCAGGGTATTCTTTAACAACTCACTTGTCCATATACTCCTGAGCAAAATGGTGTCGCTGAAAGGAAAAATAGGGGTTTGATAGGGATAGTACGTTATATGCTTAGAGGCATAAGGGTAGCAAAATCTTATTGGCATTTTGCTGTTTTGACTTCTACCTTTTTTGTGCAATCATACGCCGAGTCGTGTTCTTCAGCATAAGGCTCCCTTACAGGTCTTATTTCCTGAGCGGACACTTTTTCCGGTCCCCCCTCGTGTTTTTGGATGCATATATTTTGTTCAGGATCAATCTCCTACTCGTCATAAACTTGATGATAAAGCGATTCGTTGTATCTTTGTGGGCTATTGTCATCAATCTAAGAGGTATCGGTGTTATGATCCTATCAGGCGCCGTATGTATCACAGTCTAGATATTACCTTTCTTGAGCATATTCCTTATTTTCCTCCCAGTCCTGTGTCTGCCCCTCTAGTTAATGATACTCCCTTTGATTTTCCATTACCACAGGAGTCAGAGTCATTGGTCATTATCCCTACAGGGTTATCTGTTTCTCCTCCTTCAGAGCCACTCATCTCTATCAGTACAGAGTTACCAGTCTCTCTTCCTTTGCAGGTGTATGTTCGTCGTCCTCGCTCTCATCACCCTGCTGATGTCCCCTCTACCTCAGGCGATGCAGGTAATACTTCTCAGTTTGTTGAGCATATTGATGCACCTGTTATTAGTACTGATGAGATTGCAGGTGCTGAACCAGTTCATTTACCTGATGAGACATTATCAGTGGAGTATGATTTAGGGCGTCGTTATCCACGGCGTGATCGCCGTCCAGTTGATCGTTATGGTTGGACCGCCAGGGTTTTATATCCGATCTCTGCTTCTGTTTCTTATGGTGATCTGTCTCCCACATTTCGAGCTTATGTTATGGCCTTATCAGATACGTCGGTTTCTCGCTCTATTTCGGAGGCTATACGGGAGCCCCAATGGGTTCTTGCCATGCAGACAGAGATGGACGCTCTTCAGCGTAATCATACATGGGATCTTGTCTCCTTACCTTCAAGGGTGAAGCTTGTTGGCTGTCGCTGGGTTTACACCCTGAAGTTTCTTGCGGATGGTACTATTGATCATCACAAGGGTAGACTTGTGGTGAAGGGCTTTACTCAAGTACCAGGTCGTGATTTTGGTGCTACATTTGCCCCCGTGGTAAAATTGACTACTGTTCGGTTGATTATTTCTCTGGCTGCGGAGTACTCTTGGCCTTTTCATCAATTAGATGTGAACAATGCGTTTCTTCACGGTGATCTGGACGAGATTATTTATATGGATGCACCACCGGACTTTCGTGGTGAGGGGGAATATGCTGGAAAGGTATGTCGACTGCGTAAGTCTCTTTATGGACTGAAATAGTCGTCACGAGCCTGGTTCTCTCGCTTTAGTGATGTAGTCGTACGATTGGGGGTTCACCAGGTGTCATTCTGATCATACTTGCTTTATTCGACGGAATACTTCTGGACAGTTTGTCATTCTTCTGGTATATGTTGATGATATTATTATTACTGGTAATGATGTTTCTGGGACTGCGCAGGTCAAGATAGACCTTGGGAAGGCCTTCGATGTGAAGGATCTTGGATTTCTGCGATACTTTCTTGGGATTGAGGTTGCCCGTAGAAGCAGAGGTATTGTTCTTTCTCAGAGAAAGTATGTTTTGGATCTTCTTTCAGACACTGG